TTTTAAAAAATTGCCTTGGCCTTACCTAAACTGAAAATCCTGACAAGAAAAAAATTCTGCATAGCCATCATGTATAGATTATTTCTCAAATTGTGTCTCATGAGGCAAAAATGCCACGAAATCTTCTGCAGGAGAAAAAAGTGAGTTTCTTAAACCCACATTTGGGAATCCTGTATCCTAACCTCTACCCCTGCCATTTAGAGTTCCACAAGGCAGACTGACACGTTAGGAGGGCTAAGAAGACCCTCCAACAAAAACCTTCTTGGTTTGCTTAACTCAGCATTCCCCAAACATGAATCCTATCTCATCTCATCTCATCTAGTCTACTCTATCTACTTACCTTTGTTAATGATACCCGATACCCCAGAAAACTAATATTCTTCTGTGAAATCTGCCAAAAGATTATTCAAATATTCTATAGAAAATCTATTACATTATCTTTATTTGGAAACAGGGAGAAGCAATCTCTATAAACTTTTCTGGCAAACTTCTAGAAGCGTAGAAAGAAAATCTTGCCCAAACAGCCAAGACACACCTCTTGGCTTGCATCTGACGAGACGACACTGGCGTTGCTCAGGGTGAGTTCTATTTCCGGCGGTGAATTACCTTTGTCAGGCTTGAACGGCAATTATCTTCTCATTTCCCATCATGCGATAAGTTCTTATGGACTCTCCACTGTGCTGCAAGAGAATAAGCTGTTGAGATTTAATGTACAAAGTTTTGAAGGCAAAACCAAACACCACATGCAACATGCACAGAGAGTTTCCATTTGAGATTTCAGAATCAGAATTTCAAAGCCAGAGAAATCCTGAATAAATCAGTATACCTAAAGCCCTCTCTTTTACAGAGGACAAAGGGAAGGCCAAGAAAAATTAATTATCTGTCTCATTTGCAAAGTTATTCAATGGAATACTAGCATCAGAACCTAACTAGAAAATATTTCAATTACCAATACCTTAATCAATACATGAGACTTTGTTAATAAAAATAATGAAATTTTTTTAAAAAAAGAACCTAACTAGAATCCCCGTGTTTATTTACCCAACAAATAAATGCTGTTATGCCATGTAACCTGCTTGCTGTTAGAGATGCAATGGTGAATGAAACATACTTCATGCTAAGAAAAGGTAGGAAATTAAGAAACCCATCATTCAAGAATTGCTGGATGAACTCTTTAATGGATTGTTTGGCAAGCTAGATACACCATTACTTTTGATTGAATGCATATTTTTTTCCTTTCACCTACAAGTTATAATATAAAGTTCATATAACGTTTTCTCTGGAAAATTTAAAGCCCTGTACTTTATCACAGCAAAGTTCTCTTGTCAATAGCTCTAAAACCTGACTTGGGGAATAAGACGGATAGTGATCATTTTTCAAAATTCCCTATCAACTTTTTTTTAAACCAAGTTTAATGTTATATTTGAATAGATATTTTTGCCTTGGGGCGCCACAAAAGGGAATATTTACATAGCTGTTAACCTCTTTTACTTATTAAGCACTTCATTTATGCTGTCTACCTTTTGACTTGAGTCCTTAACCCATGCCTTGATACAAATGAGACCAAAATGGGAATCACATCACTTATGGTTAGAGCCTCAATAACCAAGTCTTGCTCTACCCTATCCCCTGGGGCAAATTATTTAATTCCTCTCTGTCTCTAATTCTCCATAGTTAAACAGAAAAACCTAATTGATAAAAGTTTATAAAAGGAAAGCACTTCAAAAAGATTTCTGAACCACCCAACGAAGCTACACAGTTACAGGAGAAACACTTGTTACCAAAGGGACTTCTCATTTGACAAGGTAAGACTCTGTGCCATCAATATCTTTTTAAAGGCAAGAAGGGCCGCCTACAACTTGACAGCCTAAAGATTGTGTATTTATATTAATAATACAGAAGTATTCCCATCTTCTGTAGTTTGCTGTTTATGTGTAAGCAAACGCATCACCATAGTAACCGAGGAGTGGGGACACAGTCCCTGGGGACACAGCCCTTGGCCGAGGAAACACGTCTGTTCCACCATCTCATCATGTAGTGCATGACTGTCTTCAGCTTCCTTAAGGTCTCGTGCAACAAGAATCTCTTGGGTTTTGACCCATGTTTTCATACTTATTTCACTTTTTTCTCCTTTTTTAAATTTTTCCATTGTGATAGAACACATGCTTTTCCCCAACAGGGTTGAAAATGACTTCAGAATGAAAATCCACAGTAAATAATTGACATAGATCAAGATTCAGTTCTGAGTGGAGGAAAACTGACAGAGATAAACCAATTTTTTATTTTAAAAATTATCTCAACATTTCTTATTACAAATTAGTTATCCTAAATGGCTAGATGAGAGAGGAATTAGTTTGCCTGATTTGTTTTCCTGCCTTGATAGTTTTTTCACACTCATTTTTAGTTGCTTGCTTTTTGTTGTTGGGTTGTTTTTTTTTTATGACAATCTCTCAGAAGGTTTTTGCTTCTCAGTTGAATCCCTAGTTACTTCAGCTTTGCTTCACATATGTACTCATCGTTTGGCAACTGCCCAAAAGAGAACTTTACTAACAGATGAGGGAGAAGGAATAGTTTCATAAAACAAGAAATATAAACATCTAAGGCAATTTGTCTTCTTTATAAAAGAGAAGAGTTCTGCTTAATATTAGCCCAATCTATTTTTACAATGTATACTCATTAACACATCTTCTCCTTTTTAATGGCTACTTTATTACTTTGTTAATTAGAAATCAAAAGAAAGCAAAGACCTGAATAACTGTCACATTACCAATTATGCTATTAAAGATTTCATGGAGTATTTTTCCATATTTATATTGTTATTTTCACACATGTAGATACTACGCAAACTGAGAGCTACATATCTAGAAAGATTTAGAGGAAGATAAGAACAAAAACTGCAAATAATTTTGGGCACCACAATTTCCAGGTTGGGTAGGTTGGGACGGCAAAATCATGTACTCTTCTTATTGGGGTGGGAGAGACGTATTCTTATTCACTGTCTACATTAATAACATAAGTACCCAGTGAACTAAAAGACTTTGGTTAAATTTGCAACTTGCTTGAGATATTGGTTCAGTTTCCATAACAATGAAGCTAATACCGTAATTACACCCATAATGGTCACCACAGAGAGAAGCCCAAGGTCTGAGTGGTCTATCTGTGGCTTATAACCAAACCAAAAGGTCAGGCAGATCAAACAGCTTGACTTCCACAAAAAAGTATCCCTTTCCTACAGTTTTGTTCCTACAGTTTTGTGTAAGGTATGTCAGAAATAATTGTGAAGGACTTTAAAATTGGCATAAACAAAAAAATTACTGGGTGTCTGCTCTAGTGTTCCCTTCTAGGCTATATTGTTTTTTCATTGTCTTTGAACTACCTTACAATTCCATAAATTGTTGAAAACTGGTAACAATGCATGTGATTCTTATCCACAGAAATGCAAATTACAGGAGTCCCCCCTTATCCACGGCGGGAGATGTTCCAAAACCCCCAGTGGATGCCTGAAATCATGGACAGTACCAAACTCCATACATAGTCTGTGTTTTCCTGTATATACATACCTGGATAAAGCTTAATTTCTAAATTAGGCACAGTAAAAGATTAACCATAATAGCCAATAATAAAATAGAACAATTTATAACAACATATTATAATAAAAGTTATGTGAATGTGATTTCTCTCTCTCTCTCAAAATATCTTATTGTATTGTACTCATCTATTTTCAGACTG